CCCCCCCAAACCTAACCCTAACCCTAACCCTTAACCTTAACCCTTAACCTAACCCTAAACCTAACCCTAACCCTTAACCTAACCCTTAACCTAACCCTAAACCTAACCCTAACCCTTAACCTAAACCTAACCCTTAACCTAACCCTAACCCTAACCCTAACCCTTACCTTAAGTTGAATCGGCTTGCTTTCAAAGCGCTATTTAAAGCGCCCTTCTTTCTCTGCGCTGGCTGTTGTCGCCCTGTTGATGACGTCAGCGATGCGGTTTAATCGGGCACGGCTTAGTCGACCGCGGTTTTGACGGGTCACGGAGGGGAGTAGTGGAACACTGTAATTGTGATTGCTCCCATATAAACTTCACATATATTGGGACATTGAATCAGATCAACCTGACTTGAACACAGTAATCCCAAGAGATAGTGATATCATAATCCGAAAAGATATAAGGTGTATTGATGTAATGCAATGGTTCAATATTTGGGAATAATTCTATTATGCATGGGACAAATAGGAGAATGTAATGCAATGATGAGTGAAAAATCATACATTCCAAGCAAGAGTGCTTTCTTCGCTTACTGTCACCTTGCAGTCTGGAATTAACCTGATACAACCTAGTAACTCACTTGTAAATATAACTATTTACAAGTGGTAAATAGACGGATGTGGTAACTCTCAATTAGCATGCTCCAGATGGCTTATAAGGTTTGCCTAAGTGCCTAGCCAATGGTATGAAACATGTGTATGCTGAATAGAATTATAAGGTCACAACCAATCCTTGCAATAATAACAAATGCAACTGCTAGTATTCTAACTTTTAAAACAACAATATCCCGGAATACATTTGCTTTACATGATTTGTTAGCAAAAGGATGTATCTGTGGATCTCACAAATTTTGTTTACAAAATTGATGACCAGGGAAAAAGCTATACAGGGGAAAAAACCTGCCAAAGTGGGGAAGCTTGCACATGTCCTGAACTGGAGTAGTTGACTTCACCTGATTTGGCAATATCTTCACTACAATGGAAAGCATTCCATTCTTTTTTAATAAAAGGGTGGAATGAAGGGGAATAGCAATAAGGATACAAACTTGTTGGTTTTAGTAGAAACATTTGTATATTATGCCTTGTGTTTGTAACATATATGTTTGCATGCTGTAAGTGCTTTTTGTTCCCTGCAAATGACTTCCTGTGGCGCTGTTATTAGGTTCCGTAGAATATCCGGCAAATGTCAAAATGTGTGGTCCTTGCCATTTGAACTCTTATCAATCTGAAATCTATGGGCATAGAGCTATCCTGGAAAGGAGCTATAAAGCTATGACACCTTTTGATCTCCCTAAGAAACTAAGTGATCAATTGAGAGAGATAAGGAGATAGCTGAAGGGGATAATTAAGATACTCTATCCTGTCCAGAGGATAGAGCAGTGTTTCTCAACCTTGGCTACTTGAAGATGTCTGGACTTCAACTCCCAGAATTCCCCAGCCAGCGACTGCTGGCTGGGGAATTCTGGGAGTTGGAAGTCCGGACATCTTCAAGTGGCCAAGGTTGAGAAACACTGGGATAGAGAATAAACAAATCAAAGAAGCCAGGATGTTATTTTATGATGTTTCTAATTGTATGAAAAGGAGCTACACTTTCTCTGAAGTGTAGTTTTTCCCTGGCATATCCTTGAGGTATGTTGAGATATGACCATCATTTCTTTGAACTTTGATCAAAGATTAAACGCTGATTGTTATTCAAGCGTCCTGTTTAAGTCTTATGTTTGCCTCATTTTGACTTGGATGCGTTCTCAAACTTCTATGGGTCTCAACATATTCTCAAACCTTACATATATTTATATGTAAGGGTGTAAGTATACAAACACGTATATATCATGCCTATAAGTGTATTATGTAGATTCAGATTAACAGAGTTGGAAAGGGCCTTATGTGTCATCTAGTCCAACACCTCCCCTCAAGCAGGAGACCCTACACCATTTCTGACAAATGGCAGTCCCATCTCTTCTTGAAAGTCTCAAGTGATGAAGGCCCCCACAACCTCTGAAGGCAAGCCATTCCACAGGTTGATTGTTCTCACTGTCAGAAAGTTCCTCCTTATTTTCAGGTAGAATCTCTCCTTGGTCAGTTTCCATCCATTATTCCTTGTCTGGCCTTCGGGTGCCTTGGAAAATGGCTTGACCCCCTTATCTCTGTGGCAGCCCTTCAAATATTGGACACTGCTATCATATCTCCCCTAGTCCTTCCCTTCAATAGACTAGCCATGCACAGCTCCTTTATACACTTTGAGAGCAGATAATATAATTCCATTTTTAATGTGTGCCAGTGTACCCACGGCAAAAAAACACAATAAAAGTTATCTAATCTTTAAATGAGGCACCAATGGAAGGCAGCTACCCCGGTGCCAAAGACGCTTTTCACGATGCTTGGCTCTTCTCAGCTATCGGTAGAGCAGAACCGGCGGCGTTTACGGAGCCTCTCCGGAATGGATGGGATCTAGCAAGCCTGAGCAAGGGGGCCGTTTGGCAACTTTCCCAGCGCTCCCGGATCCCACCCAGCCCTATCCTGGAAGAACGAGCCAGGTCGCGCATCTCCTCCTCCCCAGCGCCGCTGACCATTTCCCCCTATTTCTGCGAGGGGGGGGTCCCCTCCCCGCCGCAGTACGTAGGCAGATCCGGAGCAACGTGGCGCTCTTATGCCGACGACCAAAAGAAAACCACCACCACCCCCCGACCCAAACTTTCTGTGCGCTGCAGGGCAAGTTAAGCTTTCGCGGGCCTCCAGCTTCCCGGAGCTTCCGAAGGAGCAACATTCCTGCTCTTGCCTCTGTTCCTTCTGCGGCGGCGCGGGCATCCAGGACGCGATCCTGGAAAACCGAGAGCCTTTGCCCCGGGGGCGTCCCAGCGGCGAGCCCCCTAGCGTCGGAATGCGAAACGTCCCTTCATTCTCGCCGCTAAAGTCCAAGCCTTTTTTCTCTTTTCGCCCGCTCTGGAGTTGGGAAACAAACTTTTGGGGGGGCAGTTGTGCGCGCCGCTTCCATCAGCATGGGTGAGTTGCTTGTCCGGCGAGGAGAACAGCAGGGGGACGGGGAAGGGAGGGGAAGTTCTCTACGTGCCTTGGGGTTGTTCTCTGATGGAAGGAACTTTTTCGACTTGCTTCTTTTAAAACAATTCGCCTTTGCGGTTCGCTTCTCTGCTCCCAACTCTCTGTCCTGTGTTCTCCGTTGTCGCTTTCCTCTGCCAGAGAGAGTGATGGGTACTCTATCTGTGTCGTGCTTTGCCAAACCCTTTTTAAATGACTTCAAGAAAAAAAGGGGTTCTTCTTTATCTTGGGTTACAGTTTTAGGTCTAGGAGCGAAGCAGTAACATCCCCTGTCGGATGCCCCTTGGAAGCATTGGGAGCATATAGTTGACCAGGGATTATAGGAGTTCAAGTCGCCAGGTTGGAAGAGGCCGAGATCAGTGAAAGCCAGGAATTCCACCGCTCAGAGTAGCCGATGGCGCTCACTTTCCTAATCAAGCTGCATTCTTTTGCACTCTCACAGTGCAGAGTGAACCTAAACAAGTAGCTCATAAGTAAGACTACTGTCTCAGACCTTTTTATAGTTATAGTTTTTGCCTAATCGGCAAACTATCAATTTGCCAGCTACATTTTAGCCCAGTGTATTGTGTGAATGGATCCCATGGGATTAAGTTTACATTTTGGTATTTATCATGCAATCCCAGGACACATTGATTTCATGGAGTAATTTATAAGAAGGTAGGGCTGAGGATATTGTCTGCCTCTGATATTCAGATGGCCTTTTAATAAATGTTATATGCTTGCTCAAGAATAAGACCTGAATAAGACCAAAATGGGTTTTGTTTAGATGGAAGGCCAGATCTTTCTTAATCATTGTTTACAGAATGAAACACCTTGACATTTATTCCCTCATTTAAATGCGGCCACTGGTTTAATCTGCCTTTATAGCACAAAAATGTACATACTAATGTCAGAGAAAGATTTAGTACAACCATTAATGATAGTTCAGTTTGAAATCAGTTTGCTCCTCTGTATCGGTTTTCAAAAGCAGCACACTATTTCAGTTAAAAATTCATTTGGTTTCCTACCCTTTTTATAATAGGATGGTGGGGTGCCAGGGAATGGGGGAGAAATTGAAAGTACTTCGAAGAATACAGGATTGAAGCTGTGGACACAATTTTGAAGTGTGTTGAGAATTATAAGGGTTGATGTTTGAAGATTACACCAAGCCATGGTTAGTTGAATAAGACAGAGTAGCCCAGTTCACATGTAAACTGCAAAATAATACTTTCTGAATTTCATTGTGTTAGCTCTAACCCAAGCAAACCACATTGCAATTTATGATATATGAACCTTGGGTAAAAAAGAAAAAGTACTTCTTTTTATCCAGTTATCCTTAACCCTTGGGGTTGGGCTATAAAGTCAACTATAAAATATATAAAACCTTTAAAAAGTTTCCAATAGGCACAGAGAAGGGAAGCAGCTGCTTTAATGAATAGTGGAGAGGCTTGCTTATATCAAGTCTGAACCATTTCTTCCCTTCCAAACCATTTCTGAAGTATGCCTTAAAACTATTCTGTGTTTATTTCTGACTTGAGCAATCTCTGGGTTAAAATATGAATGTTCATCTATTTTCATCTATCTATTTTCAACTTTATTATTTATGTCATGACTCATATGTCCAATCTGTACCTCCAAACCTTGAGTTTGATTATTAAAAGTTGCAATACTGAGCTGTTATTCCTAACTCCATAAATACACACCCCATGAAGTGTTTCAATTCATTCCTGCATTCAGACATTTATTTTACAAGCCTTGTATACAGCTCCAACTTCAACTCCACATAGGTAATACCTGGGTAGGTAATACTAAAACAACACAATAAACTATATAATCAATAAACTCAGTCGATTTGGTATAGCATTTAAAGTTCTGGATTAGAAACCATAAGACTGTGATTTTTAATCTTTCCGTATGCATAAAAGCTATATAGCTGATTTTGAACCAGTCTTTCTCTCCCTCTCTCCCCCTCTCTCTTTCTTTCTCTCCCTCCCTCCTCCCCCTCTCTTTCTTTCCCTTTCCTCCTTCACTCCCTTCCCCCAGTTCACCATAAAATGTTGTGATGAAAAAAGGAAGTCAGAGAATTATGTATGCCACGTTGCATAAGATAAAGGTAGATAAAAATCAAAGATACATAATAAATATTTAATTATAAAGATAAAGCGACTAAAGATTTAAAAAATCCAATTTGGCCATTAACAAAAGGGAAGCAAACACAGCTAAGAGTTCTTATCTTTACTTTTTCTTGTCAGTCTACTTGTTGCGTACCAAGTTTAGAACATAATATATTTAAATATAGGCCTAGTGGTTCTTCACGAGTTTCAGTTGAGTTGTCTCACTCCAAAGCTGGAAGCAATTTCTGTGGAACTGAATGCTCCAATGGACAAAGAAATCTTTCATATGAAAAAAATAATAATGCAACAATGCAAGTTCTGCTGATTTATTTACTTTGACCTACGTGTTGTCTATTTGGGCATGGGAAAGGTAAAGTTAGACATTGAAATTCTACTAACAATGTGAAGAGATAAAGTACAAGAATCTTTTTATCCGCAAAGAATTAGATATTAATTTTAGTGACTGAGAATTAAGTTTGGAGCTGTTGGGGGGGGGGGATAGTTAAGAATTAGACTAAGGTATGAACACCTAGAAAGCCCAATGGCTCTTCTGCCAATTGAGCAGTCACCTCATATATAATCTACCTGGTTGCTGGTATCCTCACCTAAGTTCTGGTCCCCTTTCTCAGTTGTCTCAATTTCAACTCACCATTCTTGGAAACCTCTTCCTCCAAAAGTGTGTTTATGATGTTGTCATCTTTCTAGCATTGAGTAAATGTTCCCCAGGTAAAAAGGTTGAAAGCAAATCTGGTCAAAGGACTCCATATAGTTGGCTGATGTTATGTCAACAGATGGCATTCTTACAACAGAAAAACCCTGGGATATTTGCAGGGAAAATAAAATCAACATGGGCAAATCTCCAACCCTTTTTACAAACATCCTCTCAATATAAAAAGGTAAAGGGCTTTCATTGCACAGTCCCGTCCGTCTTGATTTTTTCCTATCATTCACTCTGATGTCCCTATAAGGTCCTATAAGGTCCTTTCTTAAAGCCATTCTTTCTGCTATTCTTTCTTCCCTGCTTGCTTAGAATTTCAGTCAGCAAATCTATATACCAGTTTTTCTCAACCTTGACCCCTTTAAGACACCTGGACATAATATGTTGGCTGGGGAATTCTGGGAGTTGAAATCTATATACAATAGAACCGCTGGTCATGAATAGCAATAGCAATAGCAGTAGACATATACCGCTTCATAGGCCTTTCAGGCCTCTCTAAGCGGTTTACAGAGAGTCAGCATATTGCCCCCAACAATCTGGGTCCTCATTTTACCCACCTCGGAAGGATGGAAGGCTGAGTCAACCCTG